ATAGCACTAAGAATCTCAATCATATGTAAGTGATTACCAGGACTCCATTCAAACTAGCCGTGCTAAACTGGATGTTAAGTCCTGTATAAGTATTGACTTAAAAAAAAAAATACATAGATAAAATTAAAGTAATAGTCCCTTTCACATTTCCCTGCGCCATCTTGAAAGGTAGCCGTGCCTTTGCATCGAAGCGAGACAAACGGTGAGCTTGCAATGATGGAGACCTTTTTTAACACCTTGSACAATTATTCACTGGCTTCGATGTAAAGGCCCGGCTACCTTTCAAGATGGCGCAGGGAAAGGTGACTATATATTCCGTTGGCGCTACTGAGAAAAGAACAAAAGGGGAAGTGGATGAGTTAATAAGAAAGTAGGTTTTGCTTTTACTTTCTGATAATCTCCAAAAAAGTTTTTACATCGATTCACTGCTATGATTACTGTGCGACTATACCAACCAAGGCCACCCAGACAAATTTTCATACAAATTAGACAATCACGATAGAATATTTAACAATAGAAGCGGTAAAAATTTCGCATTTTCCCGTATCAAGCTTTACTCTATATATTATTGTCGAAGTTGGAGTAGAGAAAGCTCACTCCACATATGGTAAGATCAATTCCATATTATAACGAATTCGACATGAACATTTTTGAAGAAGAAAARAAAAGTAAAAAAGACAAGCAAAAAAGAGAATACTTTGGAAAATCGAGGAAGGATACAGGGACGATGCTAACTCGTGGGTCTGCCTCTCAGACAACAGACACGTCACAGGGAAATACGACACTTAATGTTTGATATGCTCTATCAAATGATATACTTTAATTCATACGTGTTAATGATAAATAATAATAGTTGATAATTTTATTTTTAGAACACTTCATGGCAACAGGATAACACAACTGAGAAAAGGTGTCTTCAGTGATCTGGAATACCTCATTGCACTGTAAACATTGCATTAGAAATAAAATTATAAAGTATATATATTATGAATAATTGTTTCTTATTGGCGAGTACGAGAAATTAATCAACTAATTGCACACATCCGGGAACTTTATGCCTTGTATTGTGGTTTTCAGAGAAAAGGCAGAGCTTGTTTACCTTTGTTCTCGAAGAATCAATGAAGAATTACTTTCTTTATTTACCATTTGATGAAAGATTTTTTTCTCTCGAACGGTGGTATTTCCTATGCTAACAGTTATATTTTAGTATACATTATTCTTTCGTAAGACCAATATTTAATAATATGATAGAAAAATTTTTTCAGTTTCATGAACCGACTTTAAAGTTTGAAATTTTGTAAAAGCATTAGTCAGGCATGCTTGAAAATCAAATTTACATATTTTTACAATAGTAAGAAGTTGTTTTGATTAATTTGCATACGGACTTAGAGCATGCTCAGACGTTTTTCACTCGTGTACCCCCGACAGATCGATTTTCTTAGCTTTGTACTCTTAACCTGTTTACGTCTTAATGATTTATCATATGCAGGGATATTTCTTATAATATGATTGATTTCATCGAGAAAGGCACTTTCGAATTCAATAGAAATCTGGAATCTCTGTAAGT